CTATTATCATTCTTGTATTTCTCAAGATTAATATTAAACTGTGTATGTATATATATATATATATATATATATTAGAGAATTCGATAAGTATATGTTCCATATAATGATAATGGCTCTTCATATTTAAACCAGGCATAGAAGCTTGGATCTTGATGGTGAAGCTTTAATGACATAATGCAATCGGCAATTGCAAAGAGAATGGGAAGAAGAAAAAATTGGAGGAGATGATGTGATTGGGCAGAACACATGGAGCATATAGCATGTCAAGTTTGACTACACTCCAAATGACCATACCTTCTCCATTGAAAGGGCAAAGAAAAAAAATTATGTTCAAGTGTTCTAATCATGCCAAAAAGTTGTTAGCATTATTGCAAGGCAATGTAGAAAGCAAACTTCATGGTCATGTTGTCATTTTTCCTGTTAGGTCATATTCACTCTGACTTGTCTTTAATGCCTAATGAAATTTATATGTTATTATCACCAATTAAGCAGGATTCTAACTGGTTCTTGATCAGATAGAAACATTCAAGTAACCATCTTTGTTAATAAAACTAAAACAACCCTTGTCCCACTTCTTTTTCTGCAAAGATAAGATTAACACAAAAAAGGGAAAGAATTATGTGTAAGATGGATGAAAGAGGGAGATAGAAGAGCTGAAAAGGAATAGCTTGTTTTATGTCATCTAGGCCTTGACAAAAACAGAAAATTCATTAACAATTTCAATGCAAATTAACTTCACAACTGTCTGATAGATCATTGGCTGTTGAACCACCTAAGGCCAATTGGTCAATAGATTATGGAAGCAATTTTGACCTTATTGCAACAGTATGGTTGATCAGTCAAGACACTGCATGGAATTAGAATATAAACAAAGAAAGAAACAAAGCCCAGGCCCCCAGCCTCAAGCTTCAGCCAAAAGGCTCATGAGCCAGTAAATAGCCAGGTCAAGCTTTAAGCCAAGGGCTAGGAAATTCCCCTCACACCAACCGAAAGTAACTGTCAATCATACAAAAAGAAAAACTACCAAAGAAAAAAAACAGAACAAAGAAAAACCCACCCTGGTGGAGTTTTAAATCCTAGAAAGGGCCACGAAATTGAGGCCCCCCTCCGACCATATTGTCTCAATTTCCACTGCCCCATGTCCCTTAGAACATGGAGTAAATTATGGGAGCTTCCGCCTACTCTAAACTCCAAAGTCCTCATATCCCTCTTATCTGAGACCAACCATATAAGCTCTCATGCAAACGCCAAACGTTTTCTGACACTTCTTGTACCAACAAAAACCATCAATTCCAAGGGAGAAACTAAGGCAAAAGAAAAAAGAAAAAAGAAAACAAAGCCCACTTTCTATTTTATCATTGCAATCAAATCCAACTATAAAAGTAGCCATTCTACCAGCAGCACTTTGTTTTATCATTTTCCTGGAATCCCCTTAAAACTTGGGGAGAACAAAAACTTCCAGTCCATCCTTCTTCAACCTTGAAGCAAAAGCGAAAAAGAAAAAGGGATAAGGAAAAAAAAACGATATGGAAATTGAATCAGTTAGATGTGAGTGTTGTGGTTTGAAAGAAGATTGCACCCAAGATTATATCAATGATGTTAAGGCCAAATTTGATGGCAAATGGCTATGTGGGTTATGCTCAGAAGCTGTCAGAGATGAGGTGAGTAGAAGCAAGAAGCAATTTGGTGTTGAAGAAGCTGTTAAAGCTCACATGTCATTTTGCGGCAAATTCAAATCCAATCCAGCCGTTCGAGTTGCTGATGGTATGAGGCAGATGCTGAGAAGAAGGTCGGGAGACTTGTCAAATACACGTAATTCACCTTCTTCTTCTAAGAAGTTTGCAAGATCGGCTAGCACAAAACTGTACTAATTGGCCAAAAAACAAAGGAAAGGGTGGAAAGGCCTTTACCTTAGCTGGAATAATATTGAGAGTTAAGCCTTTTTTCGGCTAAGTTTTCAACTTGTCTTGTACAGGAGATGTTATTTCAATGGAGGCTTCTTCCTGTTTTTGTTTTTCTTTAACCCCGCCCACTTGATATGGTATGCATTTCTTTTTCCCATTTTTTTCTTTTCCTGTTTGAAGAGATCAAAGTTTTTCAAGATCTTTTGTTTTAACTTTTTCTTATCTCCAAATAATAATGCTTCATGGCAAAAACAGTTTCGCTTTCTCTTTTCCCAATTTTCAAAACCAAAGGCTATGAGGTTCCATTTCATTTTCCTCTGATATTTTTCCTCAAGAAAATCCTAACCATGGACAGCTTGAAATTATTCTAAATTTACTACTGCTTTTCCCTTTCATTTCAATGACATCTCTGTTTGTGATGTTCTTCCAACAAGCTGAATGTTGGAAGGTTAAAATTATAAAAAGAAAAGGGCTGGGGGGTGAGGGTGGAATGGTTTTCACCTTTCCCAAAAGGTCAAATGACTTTACACTGATGTGGGAAATGAGGGCAGAATTATTGGTTTTTCTTAGCCATGCTGGTATATTATTGGCTAAAGAACAAGGAGTTTGGCAGTGGAGAGTAGAGAGTTATTGGCTCTTGATCTGGAAGATATTTACCCCGACTGGCTCAGTTGATTCTCAAAGACAAAGAAAATCAGTAACAAATCTAGGCTTTTTCAATTTTATAATACAGCCGTAAAGGTCAACTTTCCACTACCATAGAAAGGACTAAACCAACACTAATGCCATATGTTTCAATGATTTGAGCTAAATTATCGTTATTTCCCACTATTAGCAGTAGTTGATGATGAAAACTTCCCGATTCCTTTGTAATAGCTGAGTTAGTACTGTTACTAAGCAATACTTAGATGCAAAGCCGTTGGATTAAGCTCGAAGTTAATCTGACTTGCCTAGGAATATATATGAAGCAAGTACATTTCAAATGTCTTCTTATAAGCTTTTCCTTATGTTTGAAGCCTTCAATCTTGTACCATATCAGTTTGAGATGTTCCATATGTTAGCAACACGAGTACTCAGGAGTTGAAATAACCTGAGTTACAACTGTGGAATCTTGGGAGATCAGCTGGTAGGCCATCTCATTAAATCTTTCCCCTTTCCCTCCTTTTCAAGTTTGGTCTACCAAAAGCCACCTTTTCTGTTGCTGAGCCTACCAGTTCATGTTGATCAAGACAACTTTTCTATCCAGTAGGCAGCAGCAGGTCCCCGCATTAGGCTATCAATGTATACAGATGGTAACACTAGCCACAACTTGTAACATCAAAAAAAAAAAACTTGCACATGTTCCTTGAGAAATATGTAAGAGAAAAATCTTCAATGTCAGCGGTCCACGATCATTTGCTTAATCACCAAATTTAAGCATCCTAAGCAGGCATTCTCAACCTGTTTCGGCACTAATTAATCATGTTCCATGTGATTAGTTAAATTAGTTATAGATAGGTCAACCATTGCTTTTTGATATTTGGCATCAATATACTTGGTTTCTAGAGGTGCCATGTCTGATTTGAATCGTTAATGTATACAATTTTATGACATTTCGAATCAAATTTTAAACATGCACGAAAAGAGGAAACAAATCAGTGTTTTTTCACAGTTTTCAATCATAAATTATCAAATACTTTCTGATAAAGGGATTGTAAGGCGGAATTGTTTATGTCCTAAGATTTGAAAGTTTGTGCTGACATTGCAGGCATCAATCTTCAAGTGGCATCTGTTGGGGCGCATCAAGTTATCTTAAGAAAGTTTCACATGAGAAACACTTGTTCTGCTTGGATGATTTTGCGCCGTAGAGTAAATAATAAATCAATAAACAGAAACTGCTGTAAGAGATTCCTGTAAAAAAAGCAGATGTCACATATATTCCTGGGGAGCAACTAAAAATGGTGGTTACGGAAGAGTGACAAAGAAGCATTAAGTCTTAATCTAAACCTAAGCATCATATCCAGTTCCTCATTGGCGAGCATCTCTTCCTTGGTCTGCAGCCATGTAAATATCAATAACGTGTTCGGTAGGAGGAGGTCTCTACAAAGGGGAATATCAGTCCAGAACCTTGATTCTTCATTGAAAGATGGAGACCAAGATCATTACTTTTTGAAAACTATTAATCCACAATTTCTGAACGTGTCATGTGCCTTGTGAATTGAAAATCGTTTTTGTTTGTTATGTCAATTAGTTTTAGAACTTGTAAATTAATGTGCATACATGGTGGAGACAATTGAACATGACATTCTCGAGAACTTATAAAGAGATTTCAACAGATGTAAAGACATGCTGTCTGAAATTTATAGGCTTTCAAAACCAAATTTTAGGCATAAAAGGAACACAAACTAGCAAATAGGAAGGCCTTGTGATAGCTGCTGCTACTGAGTCAGAAAGAAGATGCCAACTGCCACTGTGAAATTTGTTTTCAATTTCACAATGGGTATATGGCTATCATTTTAGCTTATCTTATCCTAGCCGATATCCAATTGTCATTTCCTTTTTAGTGTTTCCATTGATTTTTCAGCGTTTTCCCTTGTTTGGCACTCTATAATTATCTTATTGTTGAGTCATTGTTTTCAGCAATGGATAACTTGAAAGTATCCAATTATAGGCCAAAGCAATGATAGTTAATGGCTTTAAAGTAGTCATAGTGAGGATATGCATATGAATGTAAATATGTCATTAATTATTGGAAAAACGTTTGCACCAAATATACACTGGAATCATACAAATCTATCAAGGGATGTACATCAAAATATACCTAGGTGTTCATCAATCTTATGAATAAGATCTCTTACAAGATAGTTCATTAATTTTCCCCCTGAAAATATCACGCTCTTCTCCTGTCTAACTACTTCGTATTTCATAGGCATCGCTTCCCCTTTTCTTGCCATTCCTGGATTAATCTTAGCATAAAAGCAGTTCCACTGAAGGAATAACATCAGGACAAGAGGATATCAATGTAACACAAGGGTTTCTAAAAACATGTTGGGAACAACTCGCGCAGGCACCCTGCCATGTTCTCATCCTTTCACCCCTAATAAATACAAGCTCTAATCACAAACAATTCTTAATACATTTCAAATTATATATGTTGTTACAGAATTTCTCTATTTAGGATCAAACAGCTGACTAAAGTCTCAAGAAAAGTCACCAATAGTCTTTACAAGAACAAAGTCCATCTTTATAATGATGGAACCTTGTCCTATCCCTGACAACAATCTCCCTACCATACAACTTTGAAACTAACTTCATAAAGGTATGGCAGTCCTTACAAACTCTAAGATTCTTAACTATCCGAATGCATGAATCTTTTCCCCCATTAATAAGTCCATAACAAAGTGCCAACTTCTCACTATGCCATAGAACCACCTCCCTTTTTTCTTCCTCTTCTAAATCAACCAGAACACTATGGGTATTAGGAGAATAGCCAACCAGCTTCAAATGACTAATCACCTCATCCAACTTTTCATAGATCTTATCTGCCTGTTTGTGATCCCTATCTGCCATTAAAAACTCATGCACCTCATTGTTCAATTCTATCCTACTACATCCCTTCTCCTTAGATATGCCTCTTTCTTTCATTAAGTGCCTCAACTCCCCAACATCTTGCCACTTTTTTTCTTTGGCATAAATATTTGACAACAACACAAGAGCCCCATCATGATCTGGCTCCAGCTCAAGTAGCCTTTTGGCAGCAAATTCTCCTAATTCAGTCTCACCATGAATTTGACAAGCAGCCATGAGGGATCCCCAAATGACAACATTGGGTGCTAAAGGCATTGTCTCTACAATCTCAAGAGCTTCTCTTAAGAGATTAGCACGGCCAAAGAGGTCAACCATGCAACCATAATGTTCATGTTTAGGAGCAATCTTGTGTTCATTAATCATGGATGCAAAGATTCTTTGGCCCTCCTCAACCAGCCCTGCATGGCTACAAGCATAAAGCACACCCACAAATGTAACTCCATTGGGCTCAACATGTGCCTCTTTCATTTTATGAAAGAACCTTAGAGCATTATTGGCATCCCCGTGTATGGCAAATGCATTGATCATACTGGTCCAAGATATTACATTTCTTCCTGTCATTTTCTCAAAAACCCCTCTTGCTCTTTCCAAACTTCCACATTTGGCATACATATCAATGAGAGCATTATTAATAGGTAAAGCTCCTCCAAAACCATTCTTATCAGAATATACATGTATCCATTTGGCTTTCTCTAGTACACCAAGATGCGCACAAGCTGATATAACACTCAGCATTGTCACCTGGTCAGGTCTCATTCCCAGAAATTGCAGTTCATTAAACAATCTTAGAGCTTCTTGTGGTTGATCACTCTCAGCATAACCAGATATCATCGCGCTCCAACACACCAAGTCCTTCTCTACCATTTGGTCAAAAATCAATCGAGCATCCTCAATTCGTCCGTGACTTGAATACCCAGAAACCATTGCTGTCGAAACAACCAAGTTCTTTGGTGCCATCTGATCAAACAATTTCTGAGCCATCTCCATGCAACCACAACTTGTATACATAGTCACCAGAGCACTCTGTAAATGAGAATCAACCACAAGATTTTTTTCAATAATGTAGTCGTGTATTGCCTTCCCATGATTTAGATTCCCAACATGACCACAAGCAGAAAGAATACTGGAAAGTATAAACTTATCCACCTCAATATTAGCCCTCTTCATCTCCTCAAAAAGCTCCAATGCACAATCAAAAAGTCCACTCAGACAGTAGCTGTTAACAACTAAATTCATTAGACAAACCAACATGGGTTTCATCACAAAAAAAAAAAATTCTAATTACTTACTCTTTTTAATACTATTGTTTTTTACTTTCTCATAAATTGCTAAACAGAACAAAAACTAATACCAATAGAAAATACAACATCATATCATATTCAATTAAAAATGAATAAATAACTAAATACAGATTTAACTTAAACACAGAAATATCATACATTTCGTTATTCACAAAATTTTACGAGTATTTAATATCTAACTGCTCAATAAGCAGTTTGGTCCAATAATAAGTGTAGAAAGAAATTTGAATCACCCTTCCTCAAATTTATACCTTTACTTAAAAAACAAAAACTATTCTTTGAGTTTGTACTCAAAATCATTTTTTTATCTAAATCAAGGTGAACTTCAGATTAGCAAAACTCATACCCATCTATCATAATACTCCATGCAACAATATCCCGGTAAGACATTTTATCGAACACCAACCGAGCCTCCGAAACTCTCCCACATGCCAAATACACACCCACAAGAGCCGTCTGCACAAACGGGTCCGAGTCAAAACCCAACTTGAATCCAAACCCATGAATCTCTTTCCCTTCAGCCAACCCCTCAACCCTCGCAACTGCTCTTAAAAGCGGAGGAAAAGTGAATCGGTCAATTTTTATTCCTTCATTCCTCAGCCTTTGGTAAACGAATAAAGCGAATTCGGGTATGGAGCTACGGGAGAGGTGGCGTAGGAAGGGAGTGGAAAGGGAAGGGAGAGGGTGAGGGAGGTGGGAAAAAATGGAGAGAGAGTAAGGGAGGGAAGGGGAGGACAGGAGGAGTTTGAGGATGAGGGTATGTGAGTGGGAGTGGTTGGAGCGGAGGATTTGGGCGTGGATTTGTTTGAGGTGGGTGAGGGAGGGGAAGAAGAGAGGGTTTTGAGAAGGGTTTTGGGGGTTGGGAGCGATTTGAGGTTCGGGGAAACGAGAGAAATGGTGGGTTGGGGAAGCGCTGACATGTGGAAGGGGTTTTTAAGGGGTTTAAGGTTTTGGCGCTTTTTTTGAAGTGAAAAGTCTTCTAAGAATGTGGAGGGAAAGTTAACCAGTTAAAGAGGGCGGTGTTCCTGGAATCCTAGTCCGAGAGATGTTAGATACAGAGTTAAAAGACAAACTTCTGGGTTTTGATTTTTGGGGAGTGTCACAACATGCGGGGAAAATAAACTAAAAAGATTTGTTATTTTTCGAGGAAGGCCGATGCCCAGTAGTCTACAGGTGAGAAAGGAAGAGTGAGAGGCATAACTAGAAGCTTGGAGCCATAGACCTAACCCATCAACGGCACTGGGCCGCGGCCCAAGAACAGACACCAGTTTCCTTGTGTGAAGTTTCGACTCACAACTCTCGACCCTCGGTCCCTCGTCAGTCATCATCAGAGAAAACGCAGCTGATTTTGGAGGAGAATGGGTGAAGTTTTGTTGGAGCTTGAACAAAATCTCAGGTCGGGAAAGGTACCCTTCATTCCTTTTTGTTCCTATGGCTTCTAACTCTTCATTTCCACTCACTTGTCATCTTTTAAGTATCTTCCATTTATTAATCCGGGAAGCAATTTATTTGCTTTTGGGATCGATGAGAATAGAACAGGAAGAAAGGTGCTTTCTTTCCAGAAATATCAATTAAACACTAGCAAAACAATAAATACTGTTTCAAAAATTTAAATTTGTGTAGAACCGTATCTGGTAATACTAAAAGCTTGTTGGTAGTGGCATCAGTTATTTCTGCAGTCTTATTACCTTATAATGTGTGTTCTTTTCTTAGGACCAAATGACCCTACAAGAGCAAGATTTCTTTCATAGATGTAAGTCCAAGGCTGTTAGGCAGTTCTCTGCTGGTGTAATTGCTGGAGGTGGTCTTGCCTGGACTGGTATTTTCGTTTTCACCCGCATTGTTGCTTATTTGTTGTATTTGAATATGCATTCATAGTTTTGGATATGGTATAGAAAGCATAAGTCCAAAACTGATTGGGGTTGATGTATCCGGTTTCTACTGGTGCTTCAAGATACTTGGTCTTTTTCTACTTTTAATATTTAGAAGATTTAGTTCTTTCGCAATGAATAATGATCTGTATAGCTATGTTTATTATTGATCTTTGTTTTTCAACTTCCATTTAGAAAGTGGCTTTCTTTAAATTTGAATTTTTGTTGCATGTTGCATTCTAGATTCATAATACTGGTCTTCAAAGCTTAAAGTTTCTCGTACTTTATACTCTGTGATCTCAGGAGTCAAGACTATGAACCTGATGCATTCTATACAGTGGCTTAGCTTTTGTTTGCTATAATATAGCTACCAGACCTAACAATGCTATGTTAGTGTTTAATTCCTTTTGCCCCTAGACATAATTAGAAAGGAGATTGCAAGACAATTGCCTTACAGCAAACGCTTCTTTAACTTTTCAAACCAAGTTTTCATTACAAGTAATATCCTAGGAACTAGGCCATTGACTTCATCTTTTATAGTTCCGGAAAATTTTGAAGAAGCTCTCTTGGGTTGGCTAATGATTGTTTAATTTGATCATAATTCTAATTTTGAATTGCTTTTTCAAAAAAGATTTCTTGTCCAAGCTTCAACTTGAACTTTGGTAAGTAAGTACCTGTCTGTAAGGTGGTCTTTTTACTGATTGTTGTCCAAGTTCTTTCTACTTTTAGGTAATATGAACATTAAAATACTTATGAACACAAGTTCTTTGTTGGCTCCATACTCTAGCAGTATATTTTCCCTTTAGTATTGTTGCTGCTGCTCTATTTAGATATTTTTATTCATTTCATAAAAATTATCTCATTATCTCTCAAATCATTTTGGTAACAACCAGGTCTTTTTTTTTTTCCAACTTATTCTAACCACTGTGTTGGATATTCTATTGTTAGCAGTTTCTGATAATTCCTAACCTTCTCTTGCAGCAATGTGGAAGCTGAATACGTTAGTTCGGCTAAACGCCTCAGTGGGTAACTCTCTGTGATGCACAGCTAGTCACGCTCACCAATAGACATGCATAAACATGCAGAAGCACTCATTGGAACTATTGTTTATAATAACAATTGAGTCTTTACTTTATGCAGGAGCTGCTACTATATTTGGATTGTGGAGATTTGGTAGCTCACTAGAGTCGTGTGTTGACCATGTTCTTGCATTAGATGGAAGTCGGATGCAGAGAGAATTAGCAGATATGTATGTACCATATGCTACTTTTTGATAAAATTTTCCAGTTTAAATAATGTGAAAAATAAAGATGTTTTATAGGGTTCATGGACATATCAGAAATATGTTGACAAAAATTCCTGCTTGGATCCAATAAAAAGTTAACAAGCTTAACTTTCCTCGGATATATTGTTCATGTGTTGCCTTTAAAATTGAAATAACAGGATTTATGTCTGTAATTTGCTTTCTGAAATTCTGGAGACTCAGAAGATTCAGAACAAGAATAAGTGTTAATTCTACAGCTGATTAAAGCAACAATTAAAATAAATGTCATTTTCTTGGATTTATCAGTGTACATGCTTCATAGATATGGGTGACTATTTCTTTTGCAAAACAAAAATATTTTTGGGTATGTCGTATGCATTCTTAAAGATAATATCGGTAAATGTGTTGATTATCAGGAAGTCATATTTTATTTTCTTCAAGTTAAGCTCAAGGTTAATGCCAAAGAGTAAACAGATATCCTGATTCAAGTTTTGTAACTTTTACTGTATTTGTAAATGGTCAAGGCCTACTCTGATATTTTGTTCTCTAATATGATCGTGGCATCTGCTTATATGTTCTACTGGTGCATGTTAGTAGTAAATATCTGTATACAGTTGCTTTTGCCTAAGTTTCTTATTCATAAGCTGAAAGTCAAACAACAGAATAGTGAAGAAATATAGGGATGATCCTTCGAAGATGCGACTTATCTCTAAACATTTCTATTCGGAGGAAGTATTTGATGATTCAACATCAGAGCCAAGATTAAGGTGGCGTTATCGAAATTTCTATAGCGATAATATCAGTCATGATCAAGGAACTCATGATCATTCCCAGAATGACTCCCATAATGCCACCCCCAGTGATTTCCACAATAACTCTGGCAGCAAAAAGACTGATTTGAGGTCTAAGCAAATTCCTGTAAGTGCACTTAGTTTCTTTCGCTTTGTCACAACATTGTTGTAAAGTTGTAATGAAGTTGTGCAAGAGGTGCATTTAGATGTAGAACATAGACTTCTAGACCTAGTTTTATTGCTATTGAGCACATAAAATGAACTTGTTTCTTTTCATTTGTTTTACTTTCTAGTTATGGCATTCAAAATCAGTGCTAGGTGATTATCCTGTATATGCTGTCAATGCAAAGTAGGATATTCTGGGATTAACAGTTGTTTGATATCAACTCAGAATAAATTCTGAACTTTTTTTTTCACCTTAAATAAATTATGGAATTATCTGTCAGTTATCAGGTCTATAATTATTATAGTATGTCTCACCAAAAACAGTATTTAACAGGTTTGGGCGTAGGACAAGCTTGTTATTCTGCATGTGCGTTCCTCCTTATATTAAAATGATATTAAATATTAGAAAAAGAAAATAACATTTTGTAATTTGCTGATCCAGCCCAATAGATCCTTAACCATGATTGGCTGCATAAATCCATTTATTGCCTTTCCTCAGGCCTTGCCATAATTTTTCATGGGATATGGATTCTGTTCCCTGTTTCCTGACCATCTTGTTATTTTAGGTGAACTCTGGTATCGATCTGATGGCAGACCCGCTAGATTGTGTTTTTGGTTATACTGAAACAGCAGAGGAGATTCATCATTCTAGCACCTCAAATGTGCCAAGCAGAGCACAGAGTCGTGCCCATAAGAGAGCTCACCGTAGGCGTCGATTGCGTCATCAGGAAGGTTCTTTGGGCTCTCATGATGAGTAATGTATATTGGGAAGGAAATCAGAGAAGAGTGTTAATATAAACTGGATTTCTACAGGATTATTTGAGGGTTTGAAGGCATGAATATTGTGAAGTGCATTTGCATCATGAAAGTCATACTGTTGACATGGAATTGATAAATAAAATGGATTGAAGGTCTCAGTATCCGTTTTAGACAATGTCTGGTTGTGTTACCTAATGCATCGGTTAAAATATTGGGTCTGATTCATATTAGAAGCAATATAGCTATTTTCCTGAGCCTACATATCAATAGTGATGAAGGTATGCTTGTTGGCATTCTGGATGACTTGCTGGGTCATAATATTGGCAACAAGAAGGCTGATAGAGGAGTAAATAGCACCAGAACAGAGAAAATACATGACTAGATTCCCTTCAGCCTTGAGGTTTAGTCAAAGCACCTAAGTATCAAGAAGTTCAACAAACTGTTCGGTCCGGGCAGGCCTGACCTTTAGTACCTCTGGAAGTTTTTTTATTTTGTGACCTATACCACTTCCCAATGCAGGCCAGGGGCCCCTGCTCCTCGATTCCTCATTGGCTGGCCGTTTTACTGCTACAAAAAAGGAAAGGCATTAAGCGAAGTCTGGCTTCACTTGAGAATCAAATCGGGATGTTAGGAAAATGTCGAGTTCTCTTTATCACTAGTTTAAAGTATGCTATTCCTTCTCGACTCAACTCTGGGTGCTCCCAAATCCGGCTTAAAGCCTAAAAAACAACTTATGAATTCTAATCATGCTGTAAATGTGATTAAACTCTTAATTCCATCCATAATCATAAAACTTGAGAAACATGACATCTTTGTTTATTGTCCAGCTTTCCGAGGTTCTCTTTCTCCCCGCATCCTTAAAAATGCTTGTTTTTGTTATAGGAGGGGCTAAAAGTCACCCATCATGGCAAAGGAAAAGAAGGGGAAAAAAGAATGCAATCTGTCACCTTTGGCACCCTGCGTTTGTCCCTACCCTACCACACGCATGTGGCCAAAACTGAAGGGAAAGACAAAGCTTACACCAAACCAGTATATATATATATATGTATGTGTGTGTAAAAGAAAAAGATAAAAAAAGGGTTCACAATGAAACCTGTAGCACATCATTTCCAGGAAGGATCATGGCACCTTCATTCCTTGTCTTTACATGCCAAAAAGCACCTTCTTAAATATTACAGAATGTTTGCAACACAAAGTTCAATTGGATTCCCAATATATTATTTGGGTGTTTTTGTCAGCATCCACGTTTTCCATTTAGCTCAATGCTAGAATGCTCTTGGTGAACGTTTTAACTTGTTGTATTTGATTAATTTAAGGGGGGGTGGGGAATAAATAAATTTAAGGATAATGCATTTTTAGTGCTTACAAGTTGAAGTCCATTGTTCTATCCAAAGAATAATCAATCATAGAATGGGATTAGGCAAACAATTTAAGGATGATTAGCATCTACTATTAGGAGTTGGGTAGAGTATTATCTTACTAGTATTCGATGATTTGTAGATGAACAATTTGTCAATCATGGACTTCAAAGTTTTAGATTTAATGCCAATTAAGCACCTACTTTCTTATAAAAGTATATTAAGATTGAGTTATATAGAATAAAACAATTTTCTTATTTCATAAAATTTATTCGTTTTTGAACCAGAATTTAAATAAAAATCTTTCAAATTTAAGCCGTTGGATGTTCTCCCAAATTAATTTAATCCTAATTTACATATATAATCCAATAAACTCAAACATACAAAAATAACAAATATTGGTTTTGACATAAGACCATGGAATTTGTAGTTTCCTCATGTTATGGGAAAATTATATCCACTTCCATCTTTTTTCTGATTTTTTTTTTATAATTATAGAAAGAGATTCAAATCTTTTTCTTTAGACAATAGGATAATACATCAATCAATAAGTTAAATGTTCGAGTGCCTATCTTTGACTGAATTTTTGAATTTTTTTTTTTACTTATTTCTTTGCCGCAAGGAATTGAATTGCATGCAATCTTCCTCTTCTGTCTAAAAGTTAACAAAAAAATAAAATAAAATGTCTTTTGCAAAAGAGTTGATGATGCCACGTATTTATTAAACTTTCATTACGCAAGGGGAAAAAATCTAAATTTTCTTAAAAATATATCATCAATATTTTTTTTCTTTGTTTTTAAGTTTTATTACAAAAACACAAGTAGTTAATGACTTGATGTTGAATTTTAGAAAAAACAATTATATCTTTAATTATTGATTTGTCCCCATTAATCAATATATAGCATGAAATGAGAACTCAGAAACATTTTGCAATTAATATTTTGGACGCAATGGAATTCAATATTTGACTAGCCTTACATCTACCGAATCAAACTACTAAATATTTATTGCTAGTTATCTAATTTCAAATGTACTTAGTTAATTTTTTCTTAGATATAGACACATATTTTGATAAGTAAATTAACAATTAATTATTTGTGGTTACTCAAAGAAAAGAGCTAATCCATCATTAATTGGTCACACCTGACATGTAATTACCATGTATACAATTATTGTTAGCATCCGGCAATGCATGTGCATGATGAATCTACCCTGCCACCATCATCTTTATTTTCGCATACAAGCAATTAAATTTTTATGACCATCATTAATATATATATATATATATATATTGATTACTATTTACAGATTAATCTTATGAAATAAATAAATAAATTAAATTTTTATGTCATGTAGAAGCACAAATTTCCAACGTGAAGTTCCAAAGGAAAAAAAAAAAACAACTCCAATAATTAATGATGGGGTGACCACATTTAATATTCTCATAACCATCTTTAACTTTTGGTCCTTTTCTTGGTAATAATGATAGCACTCTCAAAAACAAATTGGCTAAAATCACATCAAAGGGGACCAATATTTGAACCGCATATGCATACGTGATCAATCATCTTTACAAAAATTTATCTATTTTTGTATTTTAAAAATTTTAATGTGAAATTTTTTAAATTATAAACTCATCTAAATACAAATATTTAATTGAATATAATCAAAAAATAACGAACTTTTTAAATGATTCTAATAGTTTTTAGATATTGTCTCTTTTATTTTGCAATAACCATATTATTATTGTATTCTTATGTCACCTTCCTGATTGATTAATATAAATTCTTCACAACTCTTCTTCTTCTTTTTTTTTTATAAACTTTCTCGTATTAAGTTTAACAATATTATGAAATTTGTCACAGGAATTCATTTCATAAGTAATTTTCAATTCTCCTTCTTTTTTTTTTTTTCTCATAGTGTTAAAATCTCTCTATTGTCCTTCTTAATCATTAATTAATTATTCAAATAAGTTACAAAAAAGTAGTATTGAATAATACTAATAATTTTAAAAAATAAAAGATATAGTAACCTCATAGGTAAAATTATTAGAAGCAGAGGGGCATTCACAAAGCCTAGTCTTGTTTATCTGTTCAAGTGATTCCCCTGCAGCCTCGAGCTTTCTGCACACCACGATAAAAGGCAGAGATCATAGAATTTTCATTGACAACCTTTCTTTTACCCCTCAAACAATTTTCCCATTCGTTATAGAAAGGAAAATCTAAATCACAAAATCTATTTTCCCTTTTCAACGCTCAATCTCAAAGAACAATTTTCAAAATCCTTCCTTCCATTCCAATTTTTCCATATCCGGTTTCTTTATCAAAATCTCCAAATAAAAAAAGAAAAACAAGAAGAAAGAGAAAAGGAAAGAAAGTTTTAAGAGAATTGACACCATTGCTTTATGATTTCACCTTTTCCATTCCACAACTTGATCAAGATTTGGATTCCTATCCAAATTTCTTCTTCACTTTTGTTCACCAAAGCATCTTTCTTGTTACTATTAATCTTGTTCCAAGCCTTCTCCTTGCCTTACACTTCTTCGCAATTCACCGCCAAAAGATCAATTCTTTGTGACAAAAACCAAAAACCCAAATCCCAAATACCCTCAAAAAACAAAATGAGAATCCACCCATTGCCCAGGAAAAGAAACATCACTATCCAATATGAGATGAACCCAAGAACAACGAGGTCCCAAGCTGAGACCTTGTTGAGCGGTGGGTCCCACAAAAAGCTCCGGAGGCTGCCCCACATCTTCAGCCGCGTCCTGGAACTGCCTTTCAGGTCGGATGCCGACGTGGCGGTGGAGGAAAGCCCCGACTGTTTCAAGTTCGTCGCCGAAACGGATGGGAGAATCGGCGACGTTGTGAGGGCTCATACGGTGGAAATCCATCCTGGGGTTACTAAGATTGTGATAAGGTCGAATAGTTTGGTGGATTTTAGTTTGTTGGATGATTTGGAGCTTGACATGTGGCGGTTTAGGCTGCCAGAGACCACGAGGCCGGAGCTGGCGAGTGCTGTTTATGAAGATGGGGAGCTAATTGTGACGGTGCCAAAGGGAGGCGAAGTGGAGAATTTGGAGGAAGGAGCTGGTGGAGGCGAAGGTGAAGGGAATGGGGAGATTAAAGGAGGTATGGAAAATGGTAATAATAATAATAATAATAATAGGCTTGTTCTTGTACAGTAAAAACAATAGAATCTCTTGCTTTGTTTTTTAATTGCATGTTATTTTGATTTTAGTTTTTGAAGGTCGTCGGTGGAGCTTAGCCTTTTCTTTTTTTTCTGTATGGTTACCTTTTATTAATGAATCAAATCAAGAATTGTTCTTCTCAGGCATGCTGGGCATAATGGTAATGACAATTGTGATTTGATATTGTTTTCTTGGCATGAATTTTATGATTTTTGTTGCGGAATTTAGATGATTTCCTTGGCATGTTCTTGATGAGCTTTATTGGAGGATTTAGCTTGGGTAATAACTTTGAGTAGAATAGTTGTTTTATGAGCTTGTTTTTGTATTTTAGGCTGGTTGGGGTGCATTTTGTTTCTGAGGCCAAGAAAAGGTCTAGGATTTTGCTATGTTCATAGAAATGTACATTCTTAGCATAAGTTCTTGACTATGAGGAAAATGATCATAAACATGCTTGTGGATGTTTCTTGTTCTTATGTTTTCTACAGAAGTGGAATTCGACATTGACTGGTCTAAATATGTGCTTGATTGAAGTTGGGTTCTTTTCCATTTCTCATCCCACCATTGTGTGAATGGGAAGCGAGGAATGGCCTTCCATAGGTGCATAGTTGAGTAGCTTCCTCAGTACATGTGTTTTTGTTTCTTATTTTCAAAAGCAATCTGTTGTTTTGCCAAGAACTGATAATTTATTTTCAAAATAAAGATTAAAGATATACACAAGTTTTGCTATCTTTTTGTCTTTCACATTTCCTGGTAATTAATCAAGATGTTATATGTTAGCTGACATTCCTCGGTGAATGATTACTTTTGAGTCCTGGTCCTAGAGATTCTTAGTGCTTCTACGTGTCTGCATTTTCTTTGTGTACATTCTTGGGTGAAATTCAACCTGAAACATCATAAAGCAAAGTTGTTTTTCTTGTGTCGATGTTGAGAATTGGTTCTCTTCTTACTTTGTGGTTAAGAATCTATGCTTTTGGTCCACTTGGTTGGTTTAGGTAAGGCCGTCGAATCTTGGACCTTAGAGTTTCATTTTTTTGCCTTTTGATTTTGGTTATTTAAATATGCCGTCTAGTATATCAATCTCATGCAAAGTAATGATAAACAACATTGTCTTATGAGGTCTTTTAGTCATTCATTTTCTTGTAATTATGATGAATCTTTTCGTTTACATCTTTCCGGTGATTCATAATGTCAAATATCCTTCCTTCTTGTTGCTTTATGGTTATCAGTAAAATACATTGATTGAAATAGACAATTGGACATATTTATCAGCTTATGTGGAAAATTTGCTTATCATATCTATTCATCTTGGTTCATACCAAAGACGATGTCTTAGCTCAATATTTATTTCGGTGTTCCATGTCTATGGTTGTCACTGCTTGCAGAACCTGCATTCTCATCTTAATTTACTGCAATATTTTCCAAGAACATTTCTTAGTATATATGACATCTTTCCCAAATTGAGATTTAACTGTCTTTCTGGCCTCCCACAGGAGGTCGGTTTCCACTAATCAGGATGTCATTTAGATGTGGCCATGCTGGTTCAGGCACCCATCTTTTAGGGTGAGAAGCTGTAGGTCCAAGGTTCAGTTTCCGTAGGTCCCCAAGCCCTTGGGATCGTGCCGATGAAATAAATAGAGAAAGAGTGGGGTTGGCGTGGGGGTGCTGAGAATGAGATTTGACCAGGGCAGGGTTGTTACTTTGCTAACCTTTAACTGCAAAAGCTTTTCCCAGAAATTGAAACTCCTTTATTTGCTGTGGGAGGGGTTTCATTTGCTATCAATTTGCTTGCAATTGTGGTGTGACTAAAGCTTGATTCCTTCACAAATATTTTGATTTTAGAGAATGTCGCGTCCCCTCAAGTCTCACCATATGCTTTAAACAATTATCATTGACGCCCACCACACTTGAAGAAACCAGACACAAGAATTTCCCCTTCGTTGCTTCACTTCTTTTATATATATATATAGAAGGATGCCATCGAGGAATCCAAGTTATGAGGGTCAAAGAAATAATAATATAATGAATTATTTGTCAAAGGAATCATACGATTCCTGCATCCCAATTTAACTTGGGACTAGTTGATTATTTTAGCAAATTATTGCAGTTTTCTTTATCTACTTTGTCAATGATTTATAGCAAAAGATTATTAAGATTATCAAAAGCAAATATATGTGTACGAAAGGGTCAAAGATAAAAGAAGAATAAAGAATAAAACTTTTTTGAAGAGATCATTAAGAGAAAAAAGATATAAAATTTTTGAAAACTACAACCTCATAATTATACAAAGCCGGGCCTCTTTTTAATCTCTAATGCCTTTATCCTCTTATTAATGTTGCTCAACTCATCACAAGCTTTTCTATGCAATCAAGACTTAGCAATTTTCTTTAAATGCTTTGCAGCAAAGTCACATCGAACTCGATACATTTATTTTAGCTTCAGCTAATGCAACGTCTCCATGTGAAAATCAAAATCAGCTCCTCAGTCACTTGTTCGAAGGATATGTCCCTATTTCCTTGACTCTGGCTAAAAATTGAAGCAAGACATTTTCAACAGAAAGATAACTTAAACAATGACATTTTATATCTTTTCTACCCAAATAGGACTCGGCAATTTTCATTAAACGCTCTGCCACAAAGTCTACATCATTATGTAACATCTGTACTTGTATTTGGTGCTGAGTGGAAATTTTAAGATGTCGTCGAATCTGTCCTGTGGGTTTGACCGTCTCTGTTTTTTTAACTCTTGTCGGAATATCAAACTATATAAGTATTAAATTAATTAGTTTACATCACTTTATATAAGATTAATATTTTAACAAATCAATTACTGAATTTAACAATTCATTTATATAATTTTTTTACATGTAAAATTATAAATCAATGTAATTGCATTGATTGAAACGTTATCCCTTTTAATATATATTTAACAGTCGACTCTATTATATGCAATAGATAATAAAATATTTTTAATTAATTTCAAGTTTATGTAATACAGTACGAAATTCAATGAAATTAACTAAATACAATCATTACATCTTAAATTAGTTTTATATAATAATATAAAGTGGATCATTTCTTGTAGATAATAATAATAAATAACAACAACAACAACAAAAATCTCTACACGACAATGCAATGACTGGCAAGCATTGGGGCAAAATCATCCGCTAGTATTGCTACCGCGTGACTAACAATAGAAGGCGATGTAGATTGAATGTCGTTTCCTAGTCATATCTCGAGGACGGGAGTGGTATAATTTACGCTTATAAGTTGTAACAAAGTTAGTCAAAGCAAAACATGAGACCTGTCGGGTTATGCGTAATTAATACCTAAATGCAACTTTCAAGATGGTTATAATGTTAAATATCTTAAACAAGATGGGCAATGCTAGAACCAGCGAAATGCAAAATTTGAATCTTCTCCATTAGAAAGAACAAAAATTCTCTGCACAAAGACTGCTTTTGTTTCGCTGGGACACAAAGAATTCCAATCACAGAGCCCCCATTCTATTCATTAAAGTGAGAAATGGTACGCAACTTTGTTCAAAGTCACAGGGTTTTTTGTGGCTTTTCTGACAGCGGTTTTACCAAATCATACCCAGAACCGATGAGTGATCCAACTTCCCTCTCTGCTAACTGTCAAGCCACGCAACATATTTCAATGAAATATACGACACTTGGGAGAAAACTCATCAAACTGATAAAGCCAAACAACCTTGTATGATCATATACTTGCCCTAGGGGCTGTGTTCGATTCCGATTTCTATACTGCAGTATTCCTTTACCAACAGCCTTCACATGTCTTCCCCGAATCCTCTAGGAGGTTAGACCCACAATTCTTGGGGTGCATGGTATGACCTATTTTTGCATTATGCAACTTCACCGTCAAAGATGTAAAGGAAAGTTCAAAGGATGTGCTACAGTTCAACGGCAAAATTTGGTGTACATCGGACAAATTAACCCATTGCTATGCAGAATGATTTAGTCCTCAATTTCCAAACCAAAGTGTTCCTTCAGAGTAACTTTAGGAGTCCTTCCAAATCCATTGGACACTACTTCCATTTCCTTGAGTTTCATGACTTCTTTTTTCATCTGATCCACTCTGTTCAAGATAGCATTCAGCAACGCATCTGCTTCAGTTCCAGATGCCCGATGTGACAGTTCAGATCTCTCCTTGTCCAGTTGCTGATAAAGATTGCGAAGATAATTCTTCTGACCATAAAGCTTTTCTTCTGCAATTTTATATTCAGACTCCTGTGCGTTTCTCAGAGCCTGAAGAACCTGATCAATCTCATATTCAAGTTTTAGGTATTCACTCTGATAATCAGAAGAAATTGATTGAACTGACACTGAACATGGTCTAATATCTAGAGAGTCCTGATGATTTGTTGGTTCAAGCTCTAAATTTCCATTATGGAAGGCACCTGCAAATAAACCAAAATGATGATTTTGTATCTAAGTTTTTAATGCACCATACAAGAGAGATGTTACAGAAGAAACTATAAAAAGGTAATAAGGAAATAATAAACACAGTGAAATGCAATTACTCATTCAGCTTACAGCTCAGCCTTCCTTCCAGACCTAGGGGACAAACTAAGAAATGCAATTTCATATCTTCAAGCTTAGATGGTTTAACTTCTCAAACTTCAATAAATCTATCCATGTTTAAATTCTGGAATTCTCTCTCCTATTTTGACTAATATTACATGTCTGTATTTCGGTCCACCCTCAAAATACCAATCACATATCATTATATTTCTCTACCCTCTAAGGAAGAATTATGCCTGTGATAAATACCATCAATAATCCAAATGCCGTGATTGAAGGCAATGGAAGGGAAAATTTTCCCACTGAAAGTCGAGTAAAAAGGGCTTAGGAATAGAATTCATATTCATATTCTTATGCACAGACAACCATCTGGATTTGCCAGGATAATTTTCCAGAAAAACCACTGTGTGAGTGATATGCATTAACGTCTAACTGATTGAAAGAAGACACAATTACAAAACTGCCCATCTTAGAAAGGAAAAGAGGGCGGTTATTTCTTAAACTCCTCAATTGCTAAATGTACAGCAAATATTTTGATGCAAATTTAACATAATCTTATGTTTCATGCATTACTAGCTAATGCAAAGTTGTGACTTTATTAATTTTTATATGCATGAGGCTATTCAAAAAAAAAATTATATGCATGAGATTTAAAGTTAAATTACCTGTTGATATAGCACAATCACTTTCTTTCACTTTCCAGATATCTTCAAGAGAAGTCCCACATTTAAGCTGATGTAAATACCAAAATCTCTTACTAGTGTATTTAATAAAACCCCCAAAGTGCACAAAGAAAAATTTTTGCAAAAGCAAGAAATCTGTAAGCCTTGTAGCTAGATTATATTGGCTTTACCTTTGTGATAGCCAACTCAATACGATCCAGTAACTCCCTTGCATCGGTCTTCCCTGAACCACGTAAAATACAGAAACCAAAATTCAGAATCTTCTCAATGTCATCACGAGAATCAATGGATTCACAGGTTTTTAAAAGCATTGTCACATGTGGAACCAGTGATGTCTTTGCATCACAACGTCGGCAATAGTACTCAGCATCCAACCCAATGCTACCTCCAACTGTCCCAGCCATGTAAGACCGAAGAGCACAGTTCAGATGAGCAACATGCCCACATATACAACCATCCACCGTTGCTTCACATTTGATATAACTATAGCCTCCATATTTCAAGTCTGTAGTCTTGCTACATAGAATACAGCAACAGTCACGGCAAAAATGAGGTTCACCACAGCAAAGATCACAAGGCAAGGGAACCAAAGAAGGGCTTTCTGCTTCAGCAGATAAACTGTTGCACTTCTTATTTCCAGCCTTACAAGTCACACCATCAGACTGGGCGTCAGACACTGAAAGATCAGCTATCTCTTCAGGAGGTGGAGCAAAGAAAGTCCGTGTCACTGCATACTCATAAAACAGCAAAAGTTTGTTAGACAATGAAAACAAGTTCAAAGTTAAAACTAGACATCTCGAACAACTACCTTAAAATATTTGAGGACATTTTATATGTGCTGTCACAAGAAGAAGGCAATGTAGAAAGGATGCAGCCTTCGATAATACAAAGGGATTAAACACTAAGAGAATGAATTAAAAGCAAAAGACCATTACCTATGAAATGCCATTATAGATATTCATAAGATTTGTGTTTCCAAGTTCATGGAACAAATAATATATCATGTGGAAAAGAATACCATTAATAGCTCAATGATCGCACTGAAGGCTATGATTGTCATACATAGCTACTTGATTCTAATATTCAGTCGTAGGATGCTAATGGTTCACAAGAGTTATTTTGTCATCAGGGGCTAATGCTCTAAGATACAGACGACACATCTAGAATGCAGACAAGAAACTAACAGGTTAATCAGTTTAAACATGACTTTTATGAGAACATCAATTCTTTTGTCGGTCACATTGGATATTTTCTTCGTTAATTAAAGGTAGATTAAACTATACAAGCTGCATCCATATAATCAAAATTGTTTCAAGAATGGCTTTTAATTCCACAAATCAGTAGAACTAGAAATCAAAAGCTTTTTCTTCATTTTTCTCCTTCCTAAAACTTTTCATTTATCAAAGAACTAAAAACATGTAAAGTGACTGAAAACCTCAACCTGCACAAAGACTTAGAGGATTTCATGGTTCATAATCTAAGAAATCCAAAAAAGAAAGAATAGTGAACAGAAACAACCTTTGATTGAAACCGGAAGGAAAACATTCCTAACAAAAGCCCATGATTGGTCCTTCAATACTCCCAGAACAAGGAATGAGTAATCTTGTTAACAAGTCAAACATATACTTGAACAAAAAGGAACTACCAAACATATCTGTGGCCCAAAGATGTGGGTGAACAGCACCTTGACACTACAGTCTAAGTTGATTCAGAGAATCGTATTGTTAGGTGTAGTTTATGTCAAACAGTCAGACACAGGATTCAATGAATTTAGCACAGAACCATATATCCAACTCCAAGGCCAAATGACTTAAAGACCGATGCGGTTCATGTATATTGAGAAAGAATAACTACGACACTATACAGGTTAAAACAAAAAAAGCAGAAGTAAATCCAGCTACCATATAAATGAAAAAACCTCAAATGAGCACATGTAAACGGGAGAATAGAAGGAGCATTAGCACAATTATTGGGAGCTCACCATTTGTCAATGAATGCTTTTTTGCAGGGACTTTCCAGCTGAATGAAGCAAAAAATGCACTGATGTCTGCACCAGGGAGTGCCGTTTGGAGAAATCGCTCAACTGAAAGCTTACTAGCCAAACCACGTTTCCTTCCAGTTGAGTTGTCAAGCTTGTGAAGGCGTTTTGGAGGATAGAGGTATCTATCCAAGAAATGACCAGTGATGGCAACTCTCCTCCCCACCTTCCAGCCCCATATATCACCCTTCTTAGGCCAATCCATAGGAGCATAAGGCAAGCCTACACCAGATGCCTCTGGCGAGACTGGCTTCAGATGAAGACCATTTTCCCTTTTCCTAGGCGTGCTTCTATTAGTTTCCTTAGTATTATCAAGCTCCATAAGATTCAAGTTTAGCAGATAAGTAGCCAAGGGCTAGAACACCGCACTCACTGTCATTTAAAATTTTTTTGGATATGTTTAGCAGTTATCCCAACACAACTAGCAAACACATCACCAAATCCATAACTCATTATCCAACTCCTATGGCATTGCAATTTTAGTTCTTCTTCGAAAGCAAAGATTTGCTTAGCTAAATTTATAGTATTCAATTACAAAGCAAAGCTACCATTGAATTTCATATTGAACTAATCAACCGGTTCCAGAATACAGATCAATGACTCCAATGAAGAAACAAAAGAATTCAAAATCCAATGCATTATGCAAAAACTAATAAATAAATAAATAAATCAATGTAGGTTCTTTTAGCATCCAATAAGCGATTCAAGAATCTCCTCGAACGATCCAAATTACGAGAAAGGTGTTATGTGATTCAACATACACATCAAAGTTATTAACGTTAATTAATATCAAATTTTCATCTAATAACTCTTTGATTCAAGCGAAAAAAGGAGGGAAATGGAAGGAAAAACACAAAAAATCACCTGCTTGTATTTTAAATTTCACGAGAGGGAGACGATCTCTGCAACTGCCAAAACTAAAATCATTTTTAAAAAAAGAAAAAGGAAAAAAGAATCAAACAATTTCGAGGTTTCAAGATAACAAAATTTAAACCAAAAAAAAAAAACAGAAATCGGAGAAAAGAGAGATGACGAGCTTTCGAGGTGTAATTACAGGGAAAGAAAACAAAAAGAGATTGAGATATAAAATCTTTTTAACAGACTGAAGATCAAATCGAAGCCCTAGATAAACCCCAATAAGCAGTAATGTGGGGAATCATGGACTCAGCGGCAAAATTTGTTTGCCGTAGTAGGAAAAATTTAACACATGAAGATAGAATGACTGTTTTACCCTTGTCGGGAGAGAGAGTTTCTTTGTTTGAACGAATGCCATCCTTTTCACGCGCGAGTTCTTACGAGGCAGTTAATTTTTCCTTTAGCACAGTTGATCGGTTATTAGTTAAACGAATTGGAAATCAAGGTTATTCTAGGGTAATAAATATTTAATGGAAAGGTTAAAATTATATGATAATCCTATAAATCTGGTAAGTAAAAGGCGGATAAAGCATTTCATTCAAATGATAAGATAGTGATAAGATATCTTAATAATTTTCATTGAATTTTACATAGGTATTCGATTTGCTAAAATTATTAAATTCTGTCACAACAAACAAAACAAATGCACAAGAAACTAGCGGCCTCAACAATTGTTATAAAAATCAAAAGCATAACCCCATGGCTATAATGTTTTAATATTATCACTTGTAGCAAAAAAAAAGTTTCGAAAAGATAATTTTTTTTATTAAGGAAATTGAAATTGATTAGTGAATTATACTTGAAGATTGAAGAGGGAAGCAGCTATGCAGTATAAGAAAGACTGAAGCTGTCACATGCACACCACGAGTAGTTAACATAATTGTTTATAGGAATTTTGACTATTTGTTGATTTATTGATGCAATTTATGATTAGATGTTAGTTAATCATAGGTAGGACATTAAATCTCTTGCGTATAAAGTTTTCCATAACAAACCATTCATTAGTTCAATACACAAATAAGTATTTTCAAATATCTTTTCTCTGCTTTTAGAGTATTCTATTACTTTCTTTATTATTCTTTTGAGTTTTTCTTTTTTAGAAAAATATTTTCAAATATCCTCCCTAGACAATGTTCTTTTACTCTTTTAAAAGGAGCAAATTTAACAAATTTAACAAGTCTCATGTTTTTCTTGGTTTTCTTTCTTTTAATATTCATTATGGCTTTCTGGCAATAGATTTCACTAACAATTTTAGGAATGGGATTTGCCACCAATTCTTGATTATAATTCAATTCATTTTAGTAAAATAAGATTTTAGTTGTGCTATTTGATTTTCAATTTCTTGCACAATCAATGGATTAGAATCTACTTCTAATGTGATACTTGTTATACTTTTACTAATAATGACCCTGTGTAAAAATCTTATATGCTTCACCACTTCCTATTTTGCAAAAATCCCCGCAAAATGATAGAATCTCTTCAATCATCTTCAACTTCACAAGTTGTTCAGCCATAAGTATAGAAAGCGAAAAAGTTCCTTCAATTCAATAATAAGCATAGGAAACGAAGAAAGTTTCATTTGAGTTTCGGACTTTTGTGGTTATAGAGAGCTTGAGAAAAGGGTTTTATATTTGACATGAGGTATTAGAGTTTAAATTTGATTCCTTAAACTACTCAGTATCAAAATTTAAATTTAACATTTTAAACCATTCGGCACATCAAAGCTTAAATTTAACGCTTTTTGACACTTGACTAAATTGAATTTTTTGTTGAACAAGCGTGATATCCAAAAAATTAAATTTAACATTTTAAACTTATTAGAAATTACATCTAGCGCCTTAGACCACTCGACCAAACTAGAGTTTTTTGTTAAGCAAGCATGGCAAGTATGTTATTTGAATATGCAAAAGCAGTATATGAGATGAGCCAAAAGGCCTCGAATGGATGAATTATGCGAAACCATATCTAATTTAAATGTTTCACCCAATAGCCAAAAATTGATTGCTTTGATCAAGATACATATATTTCAAAGTCAGTGACAATTAGATATATTTTCAAAATATTGGTTTTGTAATAGATTTTGTTAATAGTAGAATTTTTAAATTGTTACCGAGTATGTTGTTAATTGAAATAAAGAGTCCAAAAATTACGAGACGTAAGAATATAAAATTAAATATCAGAATAAAAATTTTGTGTTATGAGATATATGTTTTTATAGAGATATTTAAATGGTATATTTCTATAACGAATTTTATTTATAATTTAACTCTAATATTAGTTAATTAGAGTTACGTGGATGAAATGCATGCACTGTCCACCTTTTCTGTTGCCCTTTACGAGATATTTTTTTTTACAGGAATGTCATCAGTTTGACGCGCGAGTTCCTATAGGCTGTTCAATTTTATTTGTTTACAGCACAATTAATCTGTTATTAGTTAATCAAATTGGAAATGAGGGTTATTCTAGGGTAATAAATAGTTGACGGAAATGTTAAAATTATCTAATAATCCTATCATTGGCAAAAAAAGTTGAAATTAACAAAATTGTATTTTAAATCTGATAGATATAAAAATATTTAAGCGCAAAAGGTCGACAGTAGATGTCATTCAAATCCATAATAAGATAGTGGTCAGGCATCCCTCATTCCCGATACTTGACATCGAAAATTACATGGGCACCTGGTGGTTGCTAAAGCTATTAAAATGTCACAACACGCAAAGCAATGCAAAGGAAAGTGGCGGTATCAGCTATTTTTCTAGAAATCAAAAGCATAGTACCACAACTATCGTGTTTAAAATATTGGTACCGCAGCTGATAAAAAGGTTTCGGGAAGAGAAAGATAATTTCCTTTTAAAGAGAAAATCCTTTTAGAGGAGCAAACTTAGCAAGTATTTCAGCCTCACGTCTTTCTGCATTTTCCTTCTTTAGCTCCCATCCTGGCTTTCTGGCATTAGCAAGTTGGACTTCATGAACCACTTTAGGAATAGAATTTGCCACCAACTTTTGATTATAAGTCAAATCATCCCTATCTCTCTTCTTATTCTCTATTGTTCTAGTAAGCTCAGCGCGCCGAGATTTAAGTTGTGCTATCTGATTGTCAATTTCTTGCACAGTCAATGTATTGGAATCCACTTCTGACTGCAGATGTGTTACTTGTTCTTTTAATTCGCTATACTCTTGCCTGAGTGAAGTAACTTTGGCTTTATTGTCCTCGAGGGCAGTGAAAAACTTGTCTGCCTGCTCCATCACATCTCTATTTTCCAGAAAAACTTCACAAAATGACGGAATCTCTTCAATCAACTTCAACTTCACAAGTTGTTCGGCAGTAAGAGTAGGATCCTTCCGAAGTTTAGATGCTAGACTTGTGAGTTCATCAAGGTCTTTAAAGCAAATCAATGAAGGAAAATCCATATCAAGAAATGAAGAAAGTTTCCCTCGAGCTTCAGACATTTCGTCTTCAGCAGGAAAAGAATTAGGCATCAAAGGGTGGGTAAATGGTTCTTCACATAGAGGCTGAGCAAGCATGTCATCCAAAGAATTGAGATAGGTATCAAATTCCTCTACAAAGAAAGAAACAATATCATTTTCAGGAGAATTGTTAAAATTGAGAACAAATACTTGACCCCTTTAAAATAAATATTAATTTTCATATTCTCACCTCTTGTCTTTTCATCATCTAAAAAAGACATATCAAGACCAGCATTTGTCTCTTCATTTTCAGATGGTGCTGGGGCTGAATTTTTAAGATGTTGCCGAGTCTGTCGCCTAGGTCTGACTGATTCTGTAGTTGTCTTCTGCCTCTTTTTACTGTTGTTGGAATGACCGGAACGGGGAGTCTTCCTCTGGCTACTACGGCGAGTTTTTTTGTTACTTTCTTTTTCACCATCCTCCACTCCAATCGCTGGAGGGAGAGTGTCGGCTTCATCACACAAAAGAAAAGAATTATGGCTAAGTAATCAAGAGAAAGCAAACCTGGTATAACTTAGAACACTAGGAAACCCAAATAAAAATATTATAACCTAGACTACTCCTTCAACTGCTTCCCCATCCAAGATAAAAACAAGAACGAAGGGCAATTGATCAAGTTGGATTATTACAATTTATATCAAACTTTATGCAATGAAATATGCACTAGATCTTTTTAAAGCATGTCTGCATGCCTGCATTAGATTATGTCAACTCCTCCCCATCTTCTGTAGCCTTGGTTCAACAAACCTTCCCAACAGGTAATAGCAAGGAAGGAGACAAACAGAGAGAGCAGAAGATCAGTCTGTAGGGAGTATATGCTCACCTCCGCAAACATAAACAAGGAAAAGGATGGAAAAATTACTAGTCTGAGCGAGCACATACATTGACAGACGGCAGGTAGCTAGACACCAATCTTAGAATTCTAATAGGGCCTTTCCAAAGCTATTAAAGTGTTATGGCAGGCAATAGAAGAACCTCTTTTCAAAGCTCCTAAGGTGACAATCATTACCATAATTTTTGACATAATATTCAGTTTTCTGAAACAGATATAATACAGGAAAAGAGAAGTGGTTAGGAAGTATAAGGTCAATCAGCAGTACTTAATATGACATGGATTAATTCTTAATTTATAGATCTGTGAGGCCTGCATTTAACAATCTTTGACTAATATATCTGATGAGATTGCTATATTATTGGATAGTATCCATACAACCAACTAAACTACATAAATCATCATTGTTTAGCAAAAGCAATTTCGAAAGCAATCAAAATCAATTGTTTATTTTTTGGACAGAATCATATTCAATAGTATAGCCATACAGTTACACAATATGGAAGCAACAAAAAGGAACTCTAGCCTTCAAGTTTGTGCCCAAAAGAGTGAGCATCTGATAGTTAATCACTAAAGATTTGATTAATGCCAGAGTATAAACCAAATTGAGGAAGAAGTTCTTGTGCAATAATAAGTTTTCACCTAAGATTATAATGACAAATAGTGGGCCAATGAAAGTTCCACCTAAGGTGCAGATATGATCATGATTTCATTTACATATACTCTAAATCACAGGATGAAAGAAACAGTGGCAATACCAACCATCATCATGCTGTACCCTAAATTATAAAAGCTATATCATTTAAAAGAGCTTACACTCAGAAGTGCCTTTAAGGATAGCAAACAGGTGGGATTATAACAGGCCAAGAGATCCCAATAGAAACATTTCCTACCACCCTCTTATGACAAGTTCTTACCTTTAGTGGTGTTGGCTAGACAAGCCCAAGCTTCCATAACAAAAGTTCCACATTATAAGCAGAAGCAAAGTAAGGGAAATAAGCTCTCAGTTTGCGATATAAACATGACAAATATTAATGAAACTTACTGAAAATGCCTGGCAAAATCCAGGGAAATTTGCAAGAATTTTAAGCAGAAAGCCTACACCAATAGAAGCTTGTAAAAGGATACCTAGACACACATGTAAAGAGAAAGTGCAAAGCTAAACATGCTTAGTAAGTTTCTATATTTTAAGGCATCAGTAAAATGGCTTGTCAAGGTTTTGGCTGTGAAAAAGTCTCAAGACAAGTGTCCTCTTGGGTAGAGAATATATGCGTGTGCGCATCTGTCGATGTCTCCGTGTATTTTTCTCTGGACTAGCTTCCTATTTCCATCAGTGGTGCTTTTTTCTTCCATTTCCCATGCATTTCAAACTTCTTAAGTTACTAGCATGAAATATAAAGAGTTCACCCATCAGATACCAATTCACCTCAAGTAAACCTTAATCAGTAAGCCCATCTAAGCGGGCTATGCTAATCCAATGAGATCACTCCAACTATAATTAGAAACCAAAATCTTATATAAATCAAGATGCATTCTAATTTACTTCAGATGAAATAGGTTAGAAATTAAATTCCCTCACAAAATGAAAAAGGGCAGAAGAAATAGAGAACAGTATATTTTTTCAGACAACCTTTGGCAGGAGACTCCAAAATGGCAGGGATCTTCCAAATAAATGAGGCAAAGAATGCATCAATATCTGCATCTGGGAACTGTGATCGGAGAAAACGTTCAAGTGTTGGCTTGCTTGCAAACACTTTTGGATTATTCGGCTTTCGAAGCCTTTTTGGAACAGTGAGAAATCTATCATTGTAGAATCCAGAACTGCTGACCCTTTTACCCACTCTCCAGCTCCAAATATCACCAGGATTTGGCCAATCTATAGGGGCATAAGGCAATCCTTCCCCACCAGTACAAGGTTGAACCGGCACATGGAAATTATTCTCTTTAACTCCAGGAGCACAATCATTACTTCCATTAGGGATATCATTCCCCAAAGATTCTTCTTTTGCCTCAGATGGAATGGAAGCTGGTCCACCATAATAACTGCAATTGGGGTAAAATAGCATTCAAGCAAACATAATCATATACCATAAACTTTAGAAGATATATCTTCTAAAGTACTTTAAAATTCATATGGAATTCATTTGAACATTTGTTGAAGCTGCTATGCTCGCTAATTGATGAAAAAGCCATAACAACAACAAAAACATTGTTCTATAGTTGATGACTTAGGAGTGAGAATGATGGTCTATCCATGGGTTTAGAGATAGAAGGTTTTTCCAGTAGCTAATTACTATAAATGATACTTCCAATTGCAGGTAGTTTATATTCTTAAAAATAGCTTAGAGTAATATGAAGTCCCTCTAGTTCACAGCTTCGAAACAAAAAATCTGATGAGGAAACAGATAAGACGATAAATTTTCCAAAGAAACATGCATCACCGTTAATTGGTAAAAAATACTGAACTAGAGATTTCCAGGCTCCCTCTACGCAAAAGAACAATCACACCGCTAGGAAATAGAAGTAATAAATTCTTTAATTTACGGTAATCAACCCTTTTATTTATTACATGCAACATGTGCATTTTCAAACTATTTAAAACAAGAACTTCAAAAAAAAATTCTATGTAAAAATTTTATGCATTCTAACGCATTCTACTTTCCACATACTCGATTTCTCAGGATTATCAGCTCATATTCATCCCAATAGCAAACATGTAAGAAAATCACCAAATAGAAACAAAAAAACAACAATTACATGCGGGAAGGCATAGCAAACTTACTCCGGGAAGAGCTCTTGGTGGATATCTAGGTGAGGAGGACTATCCATGTGAGGAGCGCTATCAGTGTGAGGGGAAGTACCCATATGAGGAGGAGTACCCATATGGGAAGGAGAAGGAATTGACATCATTCGAACAAAATTTCCTTTTTGACTTGCAAAATTAAGGCAGCCCAAAGACAAAAGATTAAAAACTTGATCTTTTGACTCTCACTAAGAAAGAGATCTTTAATCGTGAGACATAGTAAGAAACTGAAGACAGCAAAGCAGAGAGCTTCTATACAACACCAAAAACAAAAATTAAGTGGGTTTAACAAGCTCACAAAACTAGGATCACTGATCTGGGACTCTGAGAAATGATGCAGTAATTAAACAAATTGGAGAGAGAAAGAAGTACTTTATAGGACAGAACCCCAAAGTCATAAAATAACAAGCTAGACTCGCAACTGATCCGTCACGAGGAGGAAGAATCTAACGGGGGACAGTGATGAATGGAAAATGACTGTTGTACCCTTTCTGAATGTACTTCCCCATTTTTGTCCGAAGGACATTGGATTCGGATGATGGGTTGTTTAACAGAAAAGGATTGTTTTGTTTCATATTGGCCCACGCGCGTTTCTTTGGCCCGTTTTTCTCCCCTCGAGCTTAAGCCGTCTTAGGATTAGGAGTATTACAATTTACTTAATTTATGTAAATTTTAGTTTCGTTTTTGGAATTCAATGGCTGTTTTGAATGCTTCTCTTTCCACTTAGATGTATTTGTTCTTTATTACCTCAGATGAAATATGCCAGGCGTAATGAATCCGATTGAATTGGTGGAATTCGAAATTTGGAAATCTCTGTGCCAGCTTGATCAGGGAAACTTTTTGACACATTTCCTACGATTCTCAGGAAGCTAAAACTAAATTACTTACTACTTAATATGCCACAAGAAATTGAAGTTGGTTAAATACAGAAACGATCGTGTTTTGACAATTCAAGTCAGATTGCTGTAAGTTTTTGTCTATGATGAAGTCGCAGTAGTATGTTCATCGTGAGGCATTTAAAAGTTTTTGGTTATGTGATAGTTTCGCAATATTTTCAGGTTTTTTAGTTAATCATAAAGCTCAAACATAGATAAAAACTAGGCGTCATTCTCTGCTAAAAATGGCTGGCTATCGACTCGTCCCGCAACCTCTTGCCAGATTGATCTAGGAACAGATATGTATGTTCTGCTGAACTTATTTGGAAGACAACATCAGTGAAGGAAAAGAAAAATCTATTACGGCACCATGTTTCACCAGTACATTGTACACTAAGGACAAGGAATGTAACTTCTTGCTCTTGCCTCTTTGGCCAAATAATACGATCCCCGGACAGAGAAAAGGAGAGAAGCTGATCTTGAACAACCTAGTTATAATCCACAATGATTCATGTGTAGGTAGTGATAACAAGAAAAGAAAAGGGAAATAACAACCCTGTAACCAAAATCTAATCGTTCATTGTAATCTTGACAACAGTAAATATACATAAGGCTTACGTTAACAGTTGCATATATTGGAGGACAAGAAACATGGGGTGGAAATGTAATCAGGTGCCAATCAGCAGAAAAGCATGTTTTTGGCACTCTGAATTCATTCCGGAATTGAACTCTTTTCCCCTATGTGAACTACTCACTCGTGTCCTTTATTGATCTGGTCTGTTGAGCATTCACTCAATAAATATATATGTTTAATTTCTTACCAGAGCTCCATGTCTATGTTGAATACCATCCATCCTACCTGTTTAAAATGGTGTAGTGTAATTCACTCATCAGCCAGACACGATTAATTTCTTTCTGCGAATTAGTTGTTTCATCTTCTATTTGTAATTTTTAACTAATCTTCTTGAAGTTAAAGATGTTTAGGACTTCTAAGGAAAAAGAATAGGCATTGTTGAGGGTGGAAAAAGCATGCTTGAAAAGAAGGAATTGTTCCAGATCATGCGAGTTAGTGAATGAAGAGAGGAATGTTAATATTCCATGGCAGTAACTGCTGTCACCTGTCTGTAATGTGGATCAAGCATCTGGGCCAGACTCTTCTTAGAGATTTCTTAATTATCTAACTATTTCCGTGCAGGTATTCTTCATGCAAAATCATCAACTGTTCTGCTACCTGTGAAAACCATGAGAATAGAATCATCCTGTCATTTACATCCAAAAGGATTGAATAAATAATAAGCAAAAGAACTGGAATTTTTGTTGAGCCAAACGACATGGAGAAACCAATTTGGATAAAAGGGTATATGGTATATACCTCCTCAATGCTCCCATCCTCAATCTCTGTATTTAAAGATAATAGCATGCTTTCATGAAGCAAATTTTCTAAATCTTCTATCTGAAGTGCTGCAAAATTAACACCTAGTTCATTGTTTGTGTTCCTACACGTAAATACCTAACATCCAGCCTAAGAAATCTCCAAAATTACAATATCCAAGAGAAACATGCTTAAAGAGCAGCACCTTTGGATTGAGAGAGCCAAAAGAAGATATCAGCGGCAAGCTGTTGGGATTTCTGGAAGGAATCATGGCCACCCCATTGGTTTTGGACAGCCATTTGAAGGCCATGCCATCGGGAAAGAAGCAATGTGATTCCTTCCTGGAGATGAGATGCAGCCTCAGGCTTTTGACGAGTAAAGGCAACGCCCGAATGGTTGTTCCCATTCAAGGATCCCATTTTCTAAGCCTTTTTGGTTCTGCTTTCTCTTCTCCTAAAGAAATCCCAAAACGGTAAAAACATTTTGCTAGGGAGATTTATAGGGAGAGAGTTCTTTTTGTCCCTCTGGGGTTTCCTTGTTTTGTTGACAATACGAGTGTAATATAGAAAGAGCTGCGAAAAGTTGGGATCAGAGGAGAGAGAGTCGGTGAGAAAACATGACCGTCAGACAGACTTTGAACAGCCAGCTAGATTGAGCAACAGGGAAAAATGATTTTGAGCTCCCACTTTAGGTTCCAGTCTAATGATCTCTTATGTATTTTTGCAAAAGAAATTAAGACAATGGCATGGTTTTATTGGGGAACTTCACTGGGGGTTTCACCTTAAATTTTTCTGAAATGGAGATATAGAGTTGAAATTTCAGAGGATGAATGAAAGAACAGGAACAAATAAGAAAAGAAATAACATACTTCAATAGTTAAATTCTAGAATAATGTTTATTAATATTACTACAGTTTGAGGGATTTCAATTCTATCTTTTCAGAAATTAAAGATTCAGCCTTGTTAGGAGGGACCTCCCAGAGGAGAACGCCAACCAACAATGTTCCTGCACTACATTATGAATGATAAATGCCATAATGATTTTTTTTTTTTTGATAATGGCATAGGGAACCTAACTACAAAAACTATCTTGTACACCATAGTGAGATCCACAAAACATTAAAATAAACCAACATTTCCATGGAAATCTTCTGAAGCTGCCAACAGCTGAGATGAATACATCTCGAGTTTTACGAGCTTCTCTCTTTTCATATCATTGAGCTCTATCTCCAATACCGCTATCCTCTTATCAATGCTGCTCAACTCGTTACAAGCTTTTCGATTCAGATAAGACTTTGCAATTTTCTTTAAATGCTCTGTCGCAAAGTCTACATTGAATTTGATGGTTTTAGCTTCAGCTATGCAATCTCTCCATTTGAAAATCAACTCCTCAGTCACTTGTTCCAAAGATGTGTCCCCCATTTCTTGGATTGTGGCTAAAAACTGAAGCAATACATTTTCAGCAGAAAAAGAACTTAACAAAGAATTGCTTGTTATATCACCATAGGAAGTAATTATCTTTTCAAATATAGGCTGCAAAGCCAATGGAATCCTGTATCCTCCAACCTCTTGTTTCTCTCCTTGCAATAATGTCTTGAAATCAGAATATGAAACGGTACTCCTCTCATCTCGTTCCAATTTTTCCATAAATGTTAAGTAGCAAGCAGGAAATAACTACAAAAAGTAATAGCAATTTTTATTTTGTCATATCACTTTTAACTTTTTTTTAACAAAAAAAAAACAATCACTTTAGATAAGATTTTGATATTCTATTTGATCGTGGTTTTCCCATTTTTTTTTAGTTTAGTTTATTATTATTTAAGTCAAGTGAGTGAGTTTTAATATTTCAACAATAGTATTTTGTAACTTGCAAGGGATTCATTGTGTATTCATTTTCCCTTTTAAAGCAAGTCATAACAAAAATTAGTCGGAGTCTTAATTATTCATTGTTATGCAGCACACAAGACAGAGAATACCTGGGGTCGTGTGAGTACTTGATTTTCCTCCTGGGATATCCCAGCATCAATCTGCACAACAGCTGAGTAAGTTCTTTGAATTCCCTTTTTTTATTATTTTTGAAATTAATAAGCTCTTTGAATGTCGTCCTGCACAATCACCGAGACCAACTCCCAAAATGAATGCCAGAATATAATTATCTCTCCTTTTCCTATTTTCAAAATATATTTTTCTTCATATTATAGCTTTCAATTGTATAATGAAAGGTAATCGTCTCTTATTTTATAAATATTAGTGTTTCACTCTTTTTTTTTTAAAAAAAAAAAATTCATAGCTTCTTAACTATAGATGATAAGAAGCAATGACAGCGAAGGAAAAGTTCTTTAATTCTACGGATAGCATCATCCTATAACAATAGTCAATAAATCAAGTAATTTCTTAATCCCAATTTCCACAAAATGACCGGAGCAGAAGCAGAAAGCATTTTAAATAATATGCGATCAACAGCTTCTAAATCTGTTTCGTAAAACTAATACATATCTACTTCAATTCCTTTCTCCTGTAACGCAACGGTCAGATATTGCAATCTTCTTAAAACTTTGGTCCAATGGAAGACTGTGCAAAGCATTCCTGACATGAGAATTTAACAATCCAAGAACAGGAGAATACCTGGAGGTAAGTGATTGGTTGGTTTTCCTCCAAGGATTGACTCTGAACATCATTGTGCATAACAAGAAGAAGATCTCTGTAAGAAGCATCCTGCATAAGCATAACAAAGGTAAAAGCTCTCTTTAAGTGTTTTAAGAAAATTAGTCATGCATTTCGGAGGGCTTGGGTCGAGATGAGCTGCTCTATCATGGAAGCATTAATGATGAGTAAAGTGGCCCATCGATAATTATTACTTAAAATTTACAGTAAAACAGGATTTCTAAACTATCAACATGGAGATGATTGTCGAAAAATAAGTAACAAACATAGATCATCTAGTCCTAGAACGATGCTTTGCTAAATTAGGAACAACAAAAATTACAACAGTTGCAAGTCAACTATGCTTTGTCCAACGGAACTGAAATAACAGCTAGCCATTGCTTCTTTCTTTAAGCAAATAATGGAAAAATTATACAACAACAGCCCCTAAAACAAGGCATTTCAGGTCAGTGAGAAGTGATACTTATGAATTTCTCAATAATATTTTCTATTTCTAATCTATTTTAACCAATAGGAAGAATAGAGAATGCCATCATTTCTTTACTTGCCTATTTGATATAGATATTTTGCAATATGGATGGCCACAGTTTTTGGAATATATATTAAATTCACATGATAGGAGAATACCTGAGGATTAGCGGGTGATTGGTTTTCCTCCAAAATCCTTGGAGGTTCGTCCTCCACAACAGCGGGAAGATCTCTGTCACTGCCCAAGTCCTGCACCGGTCCATGAATACTTAGTGCCTCAGTTTCCTTTCCTTGTTCTGATGATTGTAAGATGCTTCTTAACATGTTAATCTCATCCTTCAGCTTTTCATTCTCGACCCTTTTGTTGTACCTATATTTGGCGTCATTCAGTCTCTTCCTTTCTCTTTTCTCCTCTTCACTTAACACGGATCCTTTGCGACGACCACCTCTTCCTGTTGAGTTTGTCTGAGAAACTGAAGACCGTTGATCAATCTGAGATTGGGTAATCACTTGGTATTGTTCTAAGCCATGCAGGGGGATTACATGGGCTGCAGCTGAAGCCTGTTCACTTTGAAAACTGTTTTCTTGCTGTTGACCATCCAAGCCATCAAGCAGCGAAACTTGTCCTTCAAGTTCTTTAACATAGTCGTCTGTTGCGGATAAATACCGGACATACCGGTCAATATATACCCTTTTTTTGGAGTTCTGGCACATGTATGTTCACTTGCACCCCGTTTAAGGTTTCCTACTAATTTATAGAACCGATCATATTGGCTGATTTGGATTTCAGTTGTTTCGCCTGGGAAATCATGCTCCTGCCAACACCGATTAATCTTCAATCTCTTCAATATGGATGAGAGAGCGCAACTACAACGACAGACTAAGATAACGAAGCAAAGAAATCAAACTCTGAGCAGCATAAGAGAGGGGAAGAAAAAAGGACGTTGACTTTTGAGGCAACACGTTACACACTTTTACTAGTTCTATCCTGAACTTAAGGCTCGTCTGAGATGACATTGAATGATTGCTGAAAAAAATAATATTATAATATTATATATATATATATATGAAAAAATATGAATTAAAATAGGAGAAGATCATATTATAGTTTTTGGTATAAAAACACTTTATTAAATATGTGATGTTAATTTTTAAAACTATTTTTATGTATGAGAATTTCTTATCATGAACATTAAATAGTTATAAAATATATTTAACTTTTTAAGTTTCATTTTATTATTAATTACACCACTTATTTTTTATTTTCTTTTTTTGATTTATTTTATAAAATAAATAAATAATAAAAAACTTAATTATTAAAATGTAAATGAAAGTAAATTTAAATATTAAATTATTTATAAATTTTGAAATTATATAAATCTGCATTGGTGCTTCCACGTTTGAGGCTCGAAGCCTGTTTCTAGTAAATTGTAAGCATTAATTATACTAGGTGGCATGGATGAAGCCGCGATCATAAAGAAAAAGGGCATAGCCAGGGAAGAAGAAGAAAGAAGGAAAAAAATCCTGGCAGTCGAAGAAGAAGAAGAAAAAGAAGAAGCCAATTGAAGAAGTAGAAGAAGCGGCAATCAGGAAGAAAAAGGCCACAGGGGGACCGCCAGGGAATAAGAAGAAAAACAGAGCCAGTCGAAGAAGAAGAACCCAGTTGAACAAAAAGATGACTCTCGATCAACAGAACAGAGGCCATTTTTCCGAACGAAGAAGAGCAAAAATGGTAAATTAGTTTCTTTTAATCTTGCTAAGTTGCAATCTAAGGTTGCATTAGTTTTTCATTGCCATTACATTTAATGTCAAGTAAGATTGGATGGTCGAAACTCGATCTGACAACTTAGTCTTAAAAGTTTTATTTGATGTCTTATAATAGTTAATAATTATATTACCGTAATTACATTACAGAAAATGTAATTGTTGAAAAGGGAATATTGTATTTATAAAAAATGTAATTGTAAAAAATAATTTTGTATATTGAAAAAGTGTTGATTAAAATATTATAAAATAATATTATAGTGATTGATTTATAAACAGTTTAATATCTCGCCAACAAAACTGAGAAAACATGACCGTCAGACAGATTTTGAACAGCCAGCTAGATTGAGCAACTGGGAAAAATGATGTTGAGCTCCTACTTACAGTCTAATACTATCTTATGTATTTTTATTTTTTTTTAAAAAGACATGACATAGTTTTGTTGGCGAGCTTCACTAGGGATTTCACCTTAAATTTATCTGTAATGGAAATATAGAATTGAAATTTCAGAGGATGAATGAAAGACTAGGAACAAATAAGAACCGAAACAACATATTTAAAATGTTAAAACTCTTCAAAGACTCG